CCTCCCCCCGGTGGGCGGAAGCCCGCCCTCCTGCCTGTGCGGGCGGTTACGGGAGAGGCTATGCCCAAATCTGTATCCCACCACCCATGTCTGCTGCTTTGTCTTCTTTTTCAGAGAAGCAAGCTCAAGAACTTGGTGAGTATCATTCCCCTTCCTACCTGGGAGCCTTTTCAGCTGGGCCGTTTCCTCACCTGGGTTTTGCATCTATGCCCTGGTTCTGGTTGTCCTTCTGGGAAAGGCAGGGGTAGCCAATACGGAACTCATTTCCAAAATGTTGTTTTCCTCTGCTCTCTAAGAGTTCTTAAGCTTTTTAAGTGTTTAAGCTATTCCCTGTAATCCTTCTGTAAGTCACCACTCTAGCAACAATTCAGAAACCGTGCAGCTACACGGGCAGAGCATTATCCTGCGCTAAGGCAGCACGAGTCTGTTCAGATTACCTCTCATCTCTGCTTTCTTGTGTTCTTTTTTTAAAGCGTGGAGAAGACATGCAGTGCCTATAACAGCAGGTAAATGAAGTTTGGTCTTCCAGGGTGCTGGATCATCTTCCCCGCTTTCATTTCCCTTCCTGGCAGCTCCCCTCCCGCGGTGATGCTGGTGGGACCAGGGATGCTTCTGCCAACCCTCGCTTTGCAGGAGGAAGTGCAACACTCAGACCCCTGGCTCTTTTGGTGCACGCCCAAGTTCCAGGCAAATCTGGAGAGGCCTTGGTCCTCAGTGGGCAGTGCTGGCCATGTTTTAGAGACGTGGGACCTTCTTCAGCGTGGAGCTCTGCTGGCGATCCTCTTCCCTCTCTGCTAGATATCAGCCCTCTGCCTCATTTTCTCTTCCTTGCACCGTATCGGTACCTTGTGCAGCCTCCCATCCCACAGTCTGCCAGCTATCGCTTGCACCCTTTTTCTTCTTCCTTATGCAGCCCCAGCAAAGACCTCTCCTGGGGTGAGCTCTGCCCTGATGCGTTGCCTCCGTCTCTCCTGCAGTGACGGTGGTTCTGGATTCAGACACAGCCCACTGCAACCTTTTACTGTCTGAAGACTGCACAAGTGTGTACTGCATAGAAATGACACAGCACGTCCTCGACAACCCTGAGAGATTTAAACGATCGCGCTGCGTGCTGGGCTGTAAAGGCTTCAGTTCGGGAAGATACTACTGGGACGTGGAGGTGGCGGGTAAAGGAGGATGGTTCGTGGGGGTCTGTAGAGAAGATGTGAACAGGGAGGACGAGATTGAGTTTAAACCGGAGGAGGGCATCTGGGCAGTGGGGCAGCAGGGAGGGCCCTTCCAAGCTCTCACGTCCCCTGAGCGCACTCCCTTTCCGGAAATCCGGACTCCCAAGCGGATCCGGGTCTCTCTGGATTATGAAGAGGGGTGGGTGGCATTTTTCATTGTTGACAAAAAGATTCCCGTCTTCATATTTCCACTGGCATCATTCGAGGGGAAAAGAGTCTTCCCTTGGTTCTGGGGTAATAGTTGGACGTATCTCAGAATGGTTCCCTGTTGAACAACACTTCCACAGATTTCTTCCTGGCAGCTGGGAGAGCGCTGTGGTTTGGATTTAGTGTGAGAAGAATGTTGAGAACGCAAGTGACGCTTCAGTTGTCGCCCAGCAGGGCTTACACCAGTCACGGACTTTGCAGCTTCCCCTGCTCTGCCAGCGAGAAGCTGGGAGGGGGCACGGCCGGGACAGCTGACCCCAAGTGACCCCAGGGGTATCCCACGCCGTATGGCGTCATGCTCAGCGTATGGAGCTGGGGGAAGAAGGAGGAAGGGGGGGACGTTGGGAGCGATGGCGTTTGTCTGCCCAAGTCACCGTTACGTGGGACGGAGCCCGGCTGTCCTGGGGATGGCTGAGCACCCGCCTGCCTGATTTTGCTTTCCCTATTAAACTGTCTTTATCTCAGCCCATGAGTTTCCTCACTTTTTACCCTCCAATCCTCCCCCCCATCCCAGCGAGGGGGCAGCGAGCGAGCGGCTGTGAGGGGCTGAGTTGCTGGCCGGGATTAAACCACAACACCATGTCCCAAAAAAGGCCAGTGGGAAGGTGACGATATGGACCCTCCTTTCTGCACTGGAGAAGGAGCACCGTGCTCCTCAAGCCAGGGCCGACGCTGTTGCATGTTTCTATGCCCTGCAGGCACCATCACCTCACGATCTGCTTCCTGCTCTCTAAATTGGGGAGACAGGGATTTGCTGGGCGGACTCTTCGGTGGATGAGGAATTGGTGGAGTGGTCGCATCCAGAGGGTAGTGGTCAATGGCTCCATATCCAAATGGAGACCGGTGACAAGTGGTATCCCCCAGCGGTCCTTACTGGGACCAGTGCTGTTTAATATCTTCATCAATGACACAGACAGCGAGATCGAGTGCACCCTCAGCAAGTTTGCAGATGACCCCAAGCTGAGCGGTGCCGTTGACACACCAGCAGGACAGGGATGGCATCCAAAGAGTCCTGGACAAGTGGGAGAGGTGGGTATCCATACAGGCAGGGGGATGAAGGGATGGAGAGCAGCCCTGCCCAGAGGGACTTGGGGGTGCTGGGGGATGAAAAGCTGGACATGTTCAGCCTGGAGAAGGGAAGGTGCGGGCAGAACTGATTGCAGCCGTTCAGGGTTTAAAGGAGGCCCAGAGGAAAGACGGGGAAAATCTTTCTAGCAGGGCCAGCTGGGACAGGACAAGGGGTGGTGGCTTTAAACTAAACCAGGGTAGGTTTAGACTGGACCTAAGGAAGAAATTCTTTCCAGTGAGGGTGGTGAAATCCTGGCGGTGGTGAAACCCTGGCAGGGGTTGCCCAGAGATGGGGTGGAGGCCCCATCCCTGGGAACATTCCAGGCCAGGTTGGAGGGGGCTGTGAGCAACCTGATGTGGTTCAAGGTGTCCCTGCTCCCTGCAGGGGGGCTGGGCTGGATGGGCTCTAGGGGTCCCTTCCCACCCAAAATGTTCTATGATTCTGTTTCCCAGCATCACATATGGTGTTGGTGAGGTGCTAAAGGAAGTGGGAAACAGCCTGGATCACCTTGTTCCCTCCAAACAGCCACTCGAAAGAGTCTGCGGGTGGAGTCAAGGTTGGGGCAACAACGTCTTGGGAGATTGACCCCTGGGATGTGGGAACAGGCTCTGGAGCAGGGGAGGAAGCTGATGGGCTGGACAAAAAGGTGAAGCTAGGACAGAAATGAAAGAGTGGACTGCAAACGCGGGGCAAAAGCACCCTTGCTAGCAGGATGGCTGATGTAACCCTCATCCCCCTCTTGCCTTCACCTGAGGAGAGCAGGTTCAGCAAGAAGACACCGTCCCCGCTCCTTTGCTCTCCCCACCTGGATGTCAGAACCCCAGGATCATTCCTGGCCTCCTCCTCACTGCTCATAACCAGCCATGGGCAGAATGTGCCTGCAGATGACTCCTGACCTGTGCACCCCTCTCCTCCGGTACGGCAATGCCCCTTCCCCTTCAGCAGGGCTTGTCGCAGTGGACTGCTTGGGTCTTCTGCTCCTTCTCCTTCAGGGGGTGAAGCAGGGGGGAGAAGGACCTGTGAACGTTCACAGTGTCCTACTGCATTCATCCACCTGGAAAAGGGAGACAAAGAGGCAGAAGCAATGATAAGGGCTGTGGGGCTGTGGCGTGGAAGACCGACTGGTGGTGTCGTGGGGGATGCTGTAGGTCCAGGGTGAGGGTGAGAGTAGTGCTGTGGAGGGGGGAAACCTCCTGCAGGCTTAATCCCTGGGATCCAAAGAGAAGGCCAGGGCTACATTGGCTGTCTCCCTTCCTGTCCCCTGCTTTCTGTTGGAAATCACTGACGCAGAGCCAAAAACCAGACCCCAGGTTTTGCCCCTGCTGCTGCCTCCAGCCTCTTCCTGCAAGCTGAGCTGAACTGCGGCTGCAGCGAGGGGGCTGGGGGTGAGAGGGGGCGAGGACACAGGCGGGACAGCCGACCCCGTGGGCCAGAGGGACATTCCATACCAGGTAGCATTATGCTCAGCAAGAAAACTCGGCGGGGGCGGGGGGGAAGTTGTTCCAAGGTACCGTGGCTTGAGGACTGGCTGGGCGTCAATCTGCTGGTGGGACACAGCGAGTGAACCCTTCTGCATCGCTTTTCTCCTCTCTCGCGTTCCCTCACTCATTAAACTGCCTTTAGCTTGACCCACAGAGGGTTTGGGTTTTTTCTCACTTTTGCTTTTCTGTTTCTCTCCCCCATCCTGCTATAGCGGCCGTGGGCGAGCGGCTGGGGGGGACCTAGCTGCTGGGTGGG